AAATTAATCATCTTTCCTCCTTATGCATAATACTAATTTACATTGATACACTACATATACTTTCGTACATAACCCCCCCCCCCCCCCGGGCTCTGATACGCGCAGGGTTACGGGGCACTCACGCGACCCGGTTGAATCACGGCGACACGAAATTAATTTCGTTGTGCCTTATTTTGATTTTTGCTTTATCTCCTAAAGCATTCATTTAATTTGCTTAATGTAAAGGGAAAAAATAATCTTCATGAAATGCCCAAGCTAACTAACGTATTTAAAATGATAAGGATTAATACTGTATTTATGTAAATAGCTTGCCAATTACTGCTTTATAATTTTAAAGTATTAAAATGGATATAGTATGTTATCCTTAAGAAATTAACATATGCCATCGCGGACTTTTCTGTAGACCTATTTAAGATACACAATTCCACCATACATTATTTTATTATATCTCAAAGGGTTTAGGCAACGTTTTCGTCGAAAGCTCTCAGACAGCTTATTGTTTTCCATCTCCAACAAACCACGTTATATTTTAGCCAATCTACACAAAAACTTAAAAAATTATATACTAAAATCTTCCTCGGGAGCCACTCTATCCATTGGTGAAAATAGCATGAAAATCGAGTAGTATTTGGTTTATCGTAAACAGACCTACAGACGCGACGGAGGACTTTTATAATATATAGTGATGCCTACACTTGAAATAATTATAAAATTACTATCCTACGATACTCTGATTCTATTGAGTCAGGTCAAGAAAAGATTATTGATTAGATTATTGAATAAGTTCCCTCTCCGATTTTCCCTAAAGTTTACAACAGCATGGGTTTCTTCAGAAAAGGCACGAAAGGTGTTATTCTAAATTCGTAAAATGCACGCAATATCCGTTTGTTATTACAGATATCCATGGACTTGCAATAATTTACATGCGATTCTCTTTATGATAGGATTGGCGATTCTTTCCGAAAAAGTTCAATTTTTTAATCGATTCAAGCCGTAATCTGTCACATTCGATTCACAAAAAATTAGGATCTAAAAGATCTATTTCTCAATAATCATTTACTTTGGGTTTGTATTTTTAATATGAATTTAAATCCAATTATGAAAAAAAATGGGGACAAAAATAAAAATCAATATTTTATCATTTTTTACAACTATATCATTAACTTTTTTTACATTTTACAAATTTATTTTGCAAATTTACTTGTGTTTAGGTACATTCAACTAATTGTAAATAATTTTATAGTTCTTATAAATATTTAAAAAAATAGAATCTCGATTTTCTTGGGCGAAATGATTTTGTTAACGATATCGCTATGTATCAAATAAAAATACAATTTCTTTAGTCGAAAAATTCGATGCTTCGATTAATCGATCTCAGATCGCCATCTCTACTTCATGGTTTACTATAGAAAAATATAAGCGCGTAACTACTTAGCACTTTTGAATTTTTTAATTACTTATGCTTACAATTAAATTTATCTACTTTATATTTTACTAGTAGATATTTAAATCTACATGTAGATGCATAAATTTACAAAGAACCTTAACACATATTCCTGAAAGCTGATGAATATTTTTTTACACAATTCTTTTGATAATTAATCGGCAGTCAGCGGTAGTAAATAATTGTATGCAAAATAAACGTAAGTACAGTGTCTACGTGGCGCACGCAACAGCGATATTTATTGTTACAAGCGAATGTTACTTATCATGAAACATTTTAAATGTGTGTGTGTGTAAACTTCGACTTGTTATTCGATAGAAATAGAATAGAAATAAATAAGAATTTAATTAATCTTATAAACTTTAACTTTTATAGTCTATCAGAGCTCTAGAGCTACTTTATACAAAATTCTTCTGTTTGAATACCCATGCTCTATTTATTTACGTAGTAAAACAGTTTTTATTTCATAACCTACATTAATGGCCATATAGATATCATCCTGTTATGTATGATAGTGTAATAAGCCCCTTAGAAAAAAGAGTAAGCACGAAATATGCAACGTGATCGCGTCTACACGTAATGTGCGTACTGCGACGCTCACGGACGCAGACAAACAAAGCGCAACGATGGCCATGAAACTGTTTACAGAACTATACATACCTACGTATAGTAGCAATATTTCGAGGTCAAGCAGAATATGTGGCCATTTAAAAAATAATTTATGCTAACAACCTGACTTTTATCGAAAATGTTACATTCTGCGCGCCTATGCGTCAGTTCTATATGCGACATCCAACGCCATCTTTTGACATAGATTCGGTATCTATACCCAGCCTAACGAAAAATGGCGGCAAGTTAGTAATTCAGTTATGGGCCCGCAAATAAATACTTACGAAAACGAAATAATAAACACTGTATTAGTTCAGATAACAACACAAGCATCAGTCGCGAGCTGAATAATAATGATATGAAATGATATACCTATGCGGCGTTTCATCACAATCATCACGTATCAAGCGCATCCGAGACATTTGTCATACTTACATAATTATTAAAGAACTCTTACCTTGAATACTTAGAAGATATCAAAAAGTATCAATCGAATATCTTAATACTAATGGTTTTATAAACCCTGTATGAGAAGGATATTTGGTTAAATATTTTTTAAAAACTGTTTCACATTATTTATTTATTTGTAAGTACCTTCAAATAAAGGTGTTCCCCGCTACTCACGTAAGAACTTGATTGGTATACTAAATGAAACAAACAAAAAAATAAATTAAAAAATATTGGATTTTAATTTGCTTCATTATTTTCATTTGGCCTTATGAATGTTCCTTTGGTCACAGATAAATTATAACTAAAATTTCACAATTCACAATTCAGTTGTATTTTTATTATGTCTGATACCTCATAACTCCATTATTTATAAATCAATTTAGAAAATTATATATTATCTGAAACAATATACTTACAGATTGGGGTCATAGAAATCAGTTCAATAATTTAATTTTAAAATTAAAACAACCAATTATGCTACAAAGGATGTCAGTATTTTTTTTTTTAGGAATAAAATCTTAAATCGTATAAGAAGATAATAAATATATAATGTTATATGATACATGCATATTTCATTAGTTAGATTTCACAATCATTTACCATCAGGCAAGTATAGAGTCAGTGTCATGTGTCATGCCAGCTTAGAGAAAAAGAACTCCCTACCTACCATCCTTTTACTGGTAATGAAATTTAAATGCTAAATTCAACCAATGAATATTTATTTGCAATGCCATTCAAGGCTATGGGTATTTATCATACTAACATCTTAAATTTTAAATATTCAATTAAATATACTTACCTATTTACTTACTTTAAATACACTTAAATAGATACCATAGGCACATAACCTACCTTTTGGACTCCATAAAGTTTAAAATAACGAATTATAAAAACAAAAATAAAAATTAAATAAGCAGGTATTTCTATAACACTATCTATGGTATTAATATCTACCATAAAGATCCTGCTGTCTAATGTTATAGATATGAAAATTGGTAAGACATTTAATATTTATTTGTTACTCAATCACACTTTTAATAGCTGAATGAAAATTATAAGAAATTTGGTATATGCATAGCTTATAAGGTATATTATATACTACTAACTGATACCCATGACTTTGTGTAAAATGCAAAAACCTTGTTTATTTTATACCAAAAGTATAAATATGATCTGTTTTACATGTTTTACTTGATGAAGATTGATTAAAAGATTGTTTCCCCTATAAAAAAAAAAAAAATTCTATACCAAAATTTTTAAAAATCAATTCAATATTTTAGGCAAGACAATTACACAATTAATTTTATTGTAATATTTTTCTATAAAAACTAGCTTATGTATGTCCTTCTTCAAGGTCCAATCTATATTCCATAATCCAACAAAGTTGGTTTAAATATATTTGGCACGAGAGTTACACAATTCTCGCATTTATAATATTAATATAGATAATTCACAAAAAAAAAGTTGTATATAAGCTATCTAATCATTATTACGTATTATTGGTATTATACAATAAAGTTATTTCTACTATCGGTATAAAACCATTACTTAAAACTACATCTATTCAAAGAATTAAATTTTAAATATTATACTTACTTTTTTATTCAAGTACTTAGTACCTAGGCACATTAAATCTGATCATATTCCCACATTCTAATACATTTAAAAAAGCATGATGATTATAATATTCAAGTATTTAATACAGAAAATGACTGTATAGTTGAAAATTCCGCTCTATTCCCCGCCAAAAACATTTTGACAAATTGAAAATTTTATGTTGAAATTTAGAATCAACGTCATTGCATTGACGTTGATTGACATAGACAAAGGTAGTAAATTTATTTGTTTTGTTCATTCTAAAAAAATTAAAAAGTTTCATACTTTTATTTCTATAACATACATTACTTATAGAACTAAATTATGATGTAACAAATACATTTTACTTGTAAAATACAGCTGTTTTAATTGTTACTTATCATAAATATTTTTATTTAAAAGTTGACACTGCCCTAATATTGACCAGACAAAAAAATTAATCTATGCAACCATCGTTTTATATTTAAATGCATGGAATTCCTGCACAAGTTTTAAAATATTTTTAGACAAACTATACAAGAATTTTTTTTTTCGATATCGTAACACCTTTGTCTAAACTTTTAATTTCCAATTCCATTCCAGACTATAGTAGCTACATTCTTGGATAAAATTCTCAATTAATAAAATGGTTACATAGTATTCTTACAGATTTTTTTTTATAGTAACTCGAACAGTTAGGATTTCAATACTTTTTTTACATATATTAAAGATAGTACCAGCTGTTTTCTACTTATAAATCTTAAAGTTCAATATAAATAAAGTGAAGAAATATAAGTATGTAGGAGGAATTTAAATATGTCGAAAAAAAATATTGTAGACAAAACATTTATTTTTCGTTCTTTTCACATTTACGATTCATTTAAATATTTGACGTTTCGTTTCATGTGCACAGTTCTGTAATACTTATATAGCAACACTAAAATTGACGTTTAGCTTTCGTGACTTTTGTCTGTCGCAAAATTTTGCACCGACTCCTTGTATAAGAAAGCAATTTTATTGCGTATTTGAAATCTGAACAAAATGACTTCCGTTGTGAGGGCTGGGCACTTGGCTCCTTATTTTAAAGCTACCTCGCAGGTGGTTGCTAATGGTTTAAAACCCGCAGTAGTAGTAGCAACTCCTGCTGACAAGTTAGTTGTACAGCCTCTGCCGAAAACTTCGACTGTACAATCTTTGCATGGAGCCCTTCCTATCCAGGGTCTGAAGGTCAAATCTGGTAATGCAAGTGAGTGTTAATAAAATAAAATATATGCTATGTGAAATTGCTTCTAAACAATAATTGTTACATAACACCCTGTCATTACAGTCCCAGTACAAGTGCGTTTTGCCCACTCCGATATTGCGTATCCCGACTTCACAGCGTACCGTCGCAAGGAAACACAGGACCCGAAGTCGAAAGCAGATGAGAGTATTGATCAACGCCAGTCGTTCACATATCTCATTGCTGGAGGTCAGTTATGATATAACTATTGAATACCACTTGCTAATCACGAAATCTTACAGTTGACAGATTGCTTAAATGTTGTCCTATATTATTACAACTGAAATAACTGTTGCAGTGCATATCTTATTAGAAATTATCATGATAACAGATTCAGTTATTCTCTATGTTATAATATAACAGTCTAAGAGTCTTAAATAGATAAAAATATAAAAAAAAACTGCCATAATAATAAAAATAGCATTGTTTTACATATCCAATAATATCTATTTAAGGCATGTTAAATTATAGGTACACTTGCTTTTAATATCAGATTGAGAGGTTTAAATTTCCAATACTGTGATTGAAAATATATGTACAAGATTTAATGGAATTTTTATTGTGTGCAATCAACACATCAATCAATATGTGTTCATCGCTAAATCCTGTCTAATCTCTTTTTTTTATACAACTTAGAATGGCAAACAAGCTGGCGGCCCACCTGATGGAAAGTAGTAACCGTCTCCTATAGACATGAGCAGTACCATGGACATAACAGAGTATACTGTTTCACCCATGATACCCCCCATGTGTTGCCATTTCTGAGGACTCAGATGTTATCCTTCTGTACCCAGTAAATTCATGCCATATCCCACCCTTCAAACCGAAACACAGCCATGCAAACACAACTGCTTCACAGTTGAAACACGAATGGGACAGAGGTACCCAAGCAATCGACCTTTGTACAAAGTCTCCCTCTAGTAAACCATGTCCTCTAAACACATTTTTTACTGGAATAAAATTTCTATTTTCAGCGGGTAGTGTTGCTGGCGCCTATGCAGCCAAATCTGTTGTCACACAATTTGTGTCTTCTATGGCTGCAGCTGCTGATGTCTTGGCCTTAGCTAAGATTGAAATCAAAATGGCTGAAATTCCCGAAGGCAAATCTGTTACCTTCAAATGGCGTGGAAAACCATTGTTCATCCGCCACAGGTATGGAAAATGAGAATAGAATTTCTCTAAAATAAATATATACTAAGCAATTATTGCAATATTTCTTATGATATATATTTGTAGACCTAAACAACTTATGTTAATGTTCAAATTTAGTAGTCAAAAACATTGGAAATAGGACTACACTCCAAATTTCTCCATAATGAAAATTAAATTTTGATTATATATTACCAAGGATGCCACTCTTTATTATATTGTAATATCGAAGTATCTAGACAACTGTAACCATTTTTGTCATATAAAAGTATTATTATAATTATGTAGACTTAATAGACCATTTTGTATTATTGTAAGTAAACACTAATCATCATCTTAACTATATTGTTTCTAATATTATAAATGTGGAAGTGAGTTTGTTTGTAACCTTTTAGTGGTCAAATTTCATACAGGCTGTTTTTTTTTTTTATCAATGAATGATAATGAAATGGTAACCCTACCTGCACTAATGGTATGGCGAGGCACCATTGAGTCATGTTAGGTGAGAATGAAAAAGCAAGTCAGTTAGCCCATCGTGATGAATACACCTGGAATTCAGCATGATGGTTTCCAGGGGGGACCATGTGGAGGTCGACCAGATAGGGTATATTGCTAGCAATTGGACTGGTAGTTAAACAGACTGATTAAGCCATATTAACATTAATAGTCTAAGAAATTTGGTATACATTATTTGAGAAATTTAGTATACATATGGGATGAGAATGTAGGCTACTTTTTAACCCAGTCAGTGATTATATCCAAGTTACAAGGATAATGTCACAGATAAAATGCTAGTCTTCCATAAAGTATAAAATGTTAGTATTTTGATTAATAGCAATTTAGTGTGTCATTCTGAAAGAAAATGAGTGCAATTTTGTTACCTTGTACTAACAAAATTTTCAAAAGTGGCAACATCATGTTGAAAATAATGAAAACTCATGAACAATCTAATCAGTATAGTTTATCGAGTTTTTTTGTGGTGTCCATAGTGTTAAATGCCATTTTTCCATGGACAAAACAGTACATTCCCATTTGCCCTTTCTAATACCTAGTATAAAAATTACTATCTTCACTTTACTACTAGCTACATCTGCAATTAGTCAGAATCAATTTACAATAGCATAATCTAATATTTAACACAAACACAATTTAAGCTTCCTGTAAATATATCTCTGTAATAACAAGGATCCTGCATTCTATGCAGCTTCACACAATATGTAAATCAATCTGTATTTCTAGATTTGCTTTATCACATTTGAGTAATGTTATTATTTATCTTTGTATGATTATTAATATTGTATAGTCTAACAAAAATATTATTATAAAGCAAAGCTGAAGGGCACCAGAAATCAAAGAAAAATTAGTTTTTTTTCATTCTTTATTTGAAATCACATAAGAAAAAATAGAGAAACAAAAAAATTCTTGTTAGATTTTGAACTACTTTTTACAATTGTTTCATCATTTAAGTAAAGTACAGTCAATTAGATTTACTCAATGTTGCCATACCTGAGGACTAACTTTAAATTGAATTACACCTTCACAAAGACAGCTTTGCCATGTGGCTCCAGCATAAAATGGACCACCCTTTCCTTTCCCGTGGGTGTCGTAAAAGACGACTAAGGGAACTAAACGGCTGAGGGATGGGCAGCAGCATCCCTCCTAAAACATCATCAAAGCCTAACTGTGATTGTCAACTCGCCTGCCAAGGATGGCTACTAATAACAGAATCCCTTTTTGGGAAAGACCTACGTTCAGCAGTAAACAGTTATGGGCTGATATAATAATAAAAAGGACAGCTTAGTGACGGAAAGATAGGGTTGCTATTTACCCAAGCAGACACTTTTTGTAGCCTCATTCTAGTAACACCATACTTGTACTTCCCAACTTCATTACTAATAATTGCATTACTACAGGACAGCCAGCGAGATCGCAACAGAGAAGGCGGTGCCGGTAGAATCACTGCGTGACCCACAGCACGACGATCAACGCACACAGAACCCCAAATGGCTGGTCGTGATCGGAGTGTGCACACATCTTGGCTGCGTGCCCGTCGCGAATGCTGGCGACTTCGGCGGCTACTACTGCCCCTGCCACGGGTCTCACTACGACGCGTCCGGCCGCATCCGCAAAGGCCCCGCCCCCCTCAACCTCGAAGTCCCCCCACATACTTTCATCGACGACCTCCTAGTTGTAGGCTAAACGATCCATGTTATTTATTAGACAATGTATTTATCGTTAAGGATACACACATCCAAATGTACATCAATAGAGATCAATAAAATGTGATGCGATTTATAATATTCATTTATTTAATTGTAACCTTTGGGAAGTAATGAGAACCTTTTATCTATATATAGTATATCTTATATACATTTTTATGTATTAGGTATATAAGAACCTGTACTAATTTGTTCTCTTATCACTACATGTTATATTCATATTTATAGTAGAAATACAGTACTTGAAGCAATATATAGATTTTTTTAATATATAAGGAATCCTTATACTTAGATATTTTTTTTTATGATTTTATAGTTGATATAAATGACGGAGAACAGTCACTTAGTTTTTTTAATAGGTGATAATGCTATGGTAACCCCGTCTGCGCTATCGGTATACAATGGCGGGCACCAGTGATAGATGACTAATGAAGATGAAAGCAGTTCAGTTAGCCCATCCTGACTATCTTAACTAGAATTAGCCACGATAGTTTCCATGGGGAAGCACGTGGAGGTCGACCTAACAGGGTATATTGCCAGTAATGGGGCTATTACCACCCCATTACTAACAATCCCTTTCCCCCCACAGTCATTTATTACAGCATGTAACATTTTTACATTCATATAAGTACTCATTTATCGGTAAGGATTATTGCCACTTGTTTGGGATTAGGTTTATGTTTCCAAAAGAAAGAAGTTAACTTTATTTTATTAAATGAGGTAAATGATATGTTTGTACCTTGTTTGGTTTGTATCATAAAAGGTAGATATTTATTATATAAAAATGTGTCATAATCATTATCAGTTATGATCAATTATCATATCCTATCCACTGGTGAACATAGGCCCCACCATAGGGTTATTTGCCAGTAATTACAACGTTTGGCAGGCGAGTTGGCAACTGCAGTTAAGATTTGGCGATATTTTAAGACAGACGCTGCTGACCATCCCTCGACGATTAAATTTAATTATTTACTATCATTTCATGATTTGAAAAATATTTATTTACTGAACACTGGAAAAGGGCCAATTTTTGTGTAGTGACGAATAATATATCTCGTAAAACCTGTGCGTAGTTATTACTATTAATAGATAGAATGTAGTATTCCATTTTCAACTTACTTCTTCAATAGGAAGGAGGTACTCGTTTCGGTTGTATTTTTATATGTTTATTACCTCATAACTCAGTCAATTATAAACCGATTTAGAAACTTTTTTTATCTGAAAGAATATATAGATTAGTCCCATACAAATTTTATTAATCGGTTTAGTAGTTTTGAATTAAAAATAACTGGTTTTACCACAATTGAAGTTGTTTCTTTTTTTGTAGAACGCAATTTAAAATTTTTGTTCATGCGGTTCAAAAATCAATGGATCTAAATATAAATAAAAATTCTATTCATTAGGAAACGCATCACTTAATTGCAGGATCACTTTTCTTAATAGTCGAGTTAAGGATTTTATAGAATACGGGTATCATGGGAGAAACAATATACTCTGTTATGTCCATGGTACTGCTCATGTCTATAGGCGACGGTTACCACTTTCCATCGAGTGGGCCGTCAGCTTGATTGGTTCATTCTAAGTTGCATATAAAAAAAGACAAAAAAACCTAATTTGAATAGGACAATTTTTATCGAATCAGCTAATATATAATAATAGAAAAATAAAACAGTATGCCAACGATTTATAATTATTTTATTTTTGTTATTATTTTTATGTATTTTTATTTATCTTAGACAGTTACAATCTACGTACAGTATTCCACGTTTTTATTTTACAACGATACAATGCCGGCGTAACTATCAGGAATTTTAGCGTATGAAAATTTTCAACTAATTACCTATTGATCGATTTTATATGTGCCATCCAGATATCAATCATTGACCGGCGATTATGTCAGCTGTTACTTGAATAATTTGGGACATGAGCGAGACAGCATTAGTCATTTTGTTGTTCTATTTTGAGCCTTATATTTAACACAGCAAGGTTTACATTCAGTTACAATTTATCTGTCTGCGCAAACTATCGATGCAACATAGAAACGTGGAAAAACTTGTAACATCTAATATAGACTACTCAAATTTACACACATTTACAAGATAACTGCGGATCGATATCACTTACAATGTAATTTTCATTAAAATTTTGAATAAATAATTACAATAAATGCCGTGAACAATCACAATTTAGATTATGTTGATTTATTTATTTACGTTCAAAAATAAAATTAGGCCTGATTCGTTTAGGAATATCATATACAACTAAATTATTACAAGTGTTTTGTACCTATTGAAAAATTAGAACTTATAACGACAAAGTAGGTACCTAACGGAGGGAATAAAAGCTTCAAAAATAATCATCACCCTATAAAATGTTGTAAAATTACTACAAACTTTCAAAGAAACTTACTTATACCTAACTAAATAGATAATAATGAAAATGAATCTATATTTACAAGTTGACATGGGAAGTTCTTTTAATTATATTTGGCAAAATAATTTAGTTACACCTAAATAAATGGTAGGGTGAATGAAACATGGTTGAGGTGTATTCAATCGAATTATACCTACACAATCATCAGACTCGATCTAATGTCGAATACATAAAACGACAAAACTATTTAATGGCAGAAAAAAAAAACTAACGTATCCCTTGGCTTGTGAAAAAAAAAATGGCAAAGTCATAAATACACTAAGCTATGATATTTTTTGTTCTTTATACATGTTCTATTTATAGAAAACTATTGAATCACTTACCATCTCACTTTCACAATCTAAGTGTTATTTTAATTGGCTGATAGCTAAAACTGTTTGGGATACGATGACGATAAATCATGCAATAAAACCCAAAATTAAATACAAAATTATATGAAACTTTAATATGTATGGCACAAGGAACCTAATTGTAAATATTAAAGGGCTGTATTGTGATACGAGTGGCGAGTTGACTGGCCTACTTGTGAGGACAAAATGTGCAATTTGCCTTAAATGTAATACACTGTGTATAGAGCTTATTGTCTAAAAGGAATTTTGGGGGGCAGGTGCGGTACGCTACATACAACATGCTTGAAAATTTTATAGAAAATCTAAGGTCCATCCTCATTTAATTAATTTACTGACAGTACTCTTTGAAAACTAATTATTTGAGTGAAGTTGTAAGAAAAAAAAAGAATAGTAAAATCACTTTGTGAACATTACATTAGGCATTAGTTAAGTGGGGATGAACCATAAGTTTTTAATAACATTTATTAAATATTTTTTTTTTTCTTTTACAATAACAATAATAGCACATCATATTTTCTGAACACAGATTATTTTGATTCACATTCAAATTGTAGACATATTAAAACATCCTATCAATCGGAAAAATATATATATATAAATACATCTATTATATTATAAGTGACAAAATATTTATGAATTTCTTGGAATATATCATTAATTTACATACAATAATATAATGTGAGTATCTCTGATAATATTATCTAATCATTTACTTCAATATTTATAATGATTTGTGCGACAAACAAAATTTATATAGGTATTTCGTATCTGTCAAAATGGTCACAAGGTATTGTCAAAAATTTAATGGTCTACTTTAAAACTCGGGTTTTCGCGCACTACGCCTCGTAGAATAATCGCGGTACCCATATCAAATGTTTAAAAAATCTTTTTCTATAGCTATATTTTTTTCTAATAATTATAAGGTGTATTCAATATGTGTACCGCTTTATGCTTATGTTAAGACATTCCCTTGAGCGATGTTGCTGCCGCCATTGCATTTCTAAGCATTTTAGAATGTCAAATGCATACATGTTGTTTGTATGCAGATACAAATTACACATTTATTCATAATTTATGATATATAAATCTAATTAACATGTTATATGCATTTAATAATCAATGTGAAAATACTTAATTGTATGATTTTTATAACATTAGTTATAAAAATCATATTAGGGTACAGATTTAATATTACATTTAAAAAATTAAAGTTCAAAAAATATTTTATCTACAGCAGGCAAAACAGAGGAAAATGCGACAATAGCAGCTGTTTCGCTTATGGTATTGCCTTATGGGGCCCATAGATGTTCAAGCAGTTTGAATCAAACATCTTCATCTCTGTCATATCAGCAGCAGTTGACGTGTGCTGGAGTCAATCAGCTTGACCGTCTACAAAGCCATTAGGAATCGTTCACACTCACATAACCGCAGCGTCAATGGCACAACAATTATTGAATGTCATTTGGCCGTTAGTATTCATTGCATTCATACAATTCATATTCGAGTTATAATTTTTTTTTTTTAATTATTTTCGTTTAACTGAATTATAATAATTAATCGAGGATCAATTCGTTCATGATGTTCTTCTAGAATAATCTAAATGCTAATTGGCCTATTAATAGTATCAATATCGATTAAATCGATAGTATCGTTACAAAATTTTAGTTCTTTTTTTAAATTGTGTAATTTGAATAATCCCTTAAATCACATATGATTAAATCCAGTATACTCTATTAGATTATTTAATCGATTATTTAGGTTATGTAGTCGACTATAATTGGTTACTTAAATTATGTAAATGATTATTTTTACTAATATTTAATAATCAATATCCAAGGATAGTTAGGCCACTTTATTAGATATAAATAACGTTATATCGAGGCTGTAATCGCGATCTTCGGTTCAGTGTGAACAATCCTACAAGACGCGGCGCTACCCATATGGTCCACCAAATAAACACAACATAGACTACACAACCTCGGAAGCTCTTTAATTCATTAATTAATGATTAATGAGTCGAATGTACATACGGTACAGTAAATATATTTCAGATCTATTCCTTTAATTAGGGCAATGAATCATCTGGGTTCAACCAATTATTTAAATATTTGTGTATCTACAAATCTTGCATATGTAATATACATAAAAACATAGCAGGTATTGAAAAATATAATTACTGAATTTAAATTGGATATTAAAGTTAGTGAGTGGCAAGAGCTCCACCGACAAGAGCGCAGCTCTTAAATAGGATAAATAGATAGGTTAAAGTTAATAATGGTAATATATTTTATGGATATTTCCCTATAATTTTAAATTTTAAATAGGATTGCAATACCCAGTCTAGTAAGAAATTATTTATTTTCGTTTTACTGTTTCGTTTTCGTGTTAATAAAATAATTTAACAAGTTAGTCGTCATTTTGAAATTTAAAATTTGTAATAATAAAGTAATAAGTTTAAAAATAAAATAGATTATTCATTATTAATTAGATGGGAAAAAATAATTAATTGCAATGGTTATTAATTTGAAATAATAATAATTAAAAAAAAAAGTATACCCAGATAAAATTCAAAACGCCCTTTCTATGTTGTGTGGTAAGGTGAGCCGAATAAGGCCCATTACAGAATGGAAGAAGAGCGGCGGACTGCACACTATAATTGTGTCAAGTTTCGATTATTACATTTATTATTTAAAAATCAATATTTGTATATATATAATAAAAAAATACATCAAAATACAATTAAAAATGTCAATTTTTAGAAAAAAAAATTCGAAATGTCAATTATTTTACAGTAATATTCTGATACGTTGTAGTCTGAAGATTTATAGATTCTAATGTTTTATATTTCAGATCACAAATTTACTTCAATTTAATATAATTATATGAATACAATAATTATTTTCATTTTTATATTAATCTTCTTATTCATAAAAATAAAACTTCCTACAAACTGATTTTAACTAATTACAATTTCTTGCAAAATTTGCGTACAAGAAAAAATCACTTCAGTAGCTAAAATAAGTTTGTGAGATATTTGATATTTTTTACGAATAAAGAGATAGGTATAGGTATACATTTTTTATTAGAGCAACATCGATGATTATTCGCTTATTTTTTACGTTTATAAAGTGTCAGTCCGTCGCTATTCCTCTTACTTCGACCATCTAGCAATCGGCGGTGTAGACGGGCGCGAGGTCAAGCGTGAGATGGCGGAGGGCGCGGTCGCGCGAGGCCGATCGCGAGGCGCGCGACGACTTGATGATTTGCAGCACCATCGCCTTGCAGTCGTGGCACACCGCCATCTGGACGCCGCGCAACCGTTCCGCTGCGGTCGACGCGACGCGCCCGTACCGAGCCCTGTGTCATATTACAGTTTACTTTTTGCCTTTATAGTACATTACTGCAGCGGCCAGCAACTGAGGTATTAATGAACGAACGTGCAAATGTGGGCCGAGATGTAGCCGAGGTACACATACGTAAGTCTATCAATGCCTAGTTGTGGCCAAGGCTTGTATAGTACTTTTCTCAAACAATCCGCAGAAATCAAAAACACAATTTTACTTTTTAAGTTCAATGACGAATAACGAACAATAATAATTTTTCACGCGCCATAATGTTCCTTTGTTTTTTTTTTTTTCAACAGCTTTTTATTTGCAAGCCGGTTCGAAATTTAAATAAAACCTTGTATTAGTTACCTCCTTGGTAACCATGTTTCGAAGTAAAGGTCATTCCATTTTTTAATTACAGGACAGATATGAGTTTACATAGTAATTTATCTGGCCGCAGAATACGACAGATATGGATTTTCATACAACTTTTGCCGGCCGCTGCCCGCACGTATCTGGCCAATACGACAATTTTGATTTATCTTGAAGAAGATTGTCAAAATAATGCTCACATTTCCAGGCATGTTTGAGAAAATATTAATTAATGATACCAATTAATTTATATGTATATAACTATTTGTTTTTTAGCATGAAACTGCAGAATAGAAACAATTGAACAATTTCCAATATTTTTAATTTAATATTTAAAAGTGCTCTACTAATAAACTAAAACATAAATTTGCCTCTCACTGGTAAATTGTCAGCATATATCATTAGCGCATTCAATTCCACTTTCGTTCCATTTTGCCACAAAACTGATTACGATCTCACGTGATTTCATTAAAAATAAATACTGTTATTGTAATGATGTGTACCTGCGATCGAGCGTGGAAGGCGGCGTGGCGAGCGGGCCGAATGCGGGCATGCTTTCGGGCCCGTCGACGCTGCGCGACATGGCTGCAGGCGGCACCGACAGCTCGCTGAAGCCGAGCGCCGAGCCACCGCGCGAGCTTTTTATATATATATATATATATATATATATATATATATATATATATATATATATATATATATATATATATATATATATATATATATATATATATATATATATATATATTTACTTATCCTGTGGAGTATTTAGCGTATAGTTATTTTAGTTATTTTAGCGCTATGCAAATAGCATATACACCAGATTACCAGCAACTATGCATTCAGTTATAAGTTTAACTAGTTATATTCCATGCCTTTTTTCAGGCAAATTTAGAACAATCTCAGATTCTTTATTATTTTCTTAATGACATTCGAGTAATCTGTTTATACCGTGTAGATGTCTTATTTTTTTTATATATTATCATTTATTTGCATAATAAAATGATAGGTAAGAAAACGAAGCCTCTTAAATTAGTGATATTTTTCCTTATTACTACATTTATACATTTATAAGTAACGTTTTTGCGAGATAACTTTTAGAGTTATCGATCGTTCTCTATCAACAATCTCACATACTCGTGAATCTCTCTATTCTCACTTTATAACTCCCAATCTAGCAAAGGGATATCCTACTAATATTATAAATGTAAAAGTTAGTTTGTTCTTTTATCGCTTTATTAAGTACACGTAGCACTTATTTGACATGGACATATTAGCTACTTTTTATCCCGGTCAATCTAAGTATCACAGTCACGCGGATAAAGACTAATATGGTAAATAAGGTTGTGAATGTACTGACGGTGTGTTCAGGCGAGACGAGCCTGGCCATTAGGCTCCTGGGGAAGGAGGAGTGCGGCTCGTCGTCCGGCGACGGCAGCAGCGACGGACTCAGCAGCACCACCGGCACATGCGCGAAGTGCTCCGTCGGGATACGCATCTGGCAACACATATATTAGAATATTAGGAAAAGACACTAACTAATTGCGGGGAAGGAAGGAGGTAGCTAATTGCTAGTAATGTTGAGGATGTTAAATTCCATTGCTAGCAATCAACTTTCTCACGTTTCCATTTCGTGATTAGTTTTTCGTGAATTTATCATTAAATCACATTTATGATAATTATAATAGAGCACATAATTCAATCTTAAAAGCTTTTGAGCTTACCTTTGAACAGCACTTTTGACAGACAGTCTTTTTGCATAGTTTACACTTCTGCCCCCACGGGCCGAATATACCAAATCTAGTTTTTAAACACAGGAAGCAAACCTGTAACAAACAAAATAAGTAATTAATACTGTTGCGCTTTTTACTAAAAAACAAAATATCTCAGTGAGGAAATATTATAATATTTTTTTTTCACAGCGATGGCAGCTCAGTTTGACAACGCTGGTCGCAAAAGACTAAATCTTGGCCTAAACTTCTAGCTTTGCAACATGCAAATGCATGTTGAGATTATTAAAAAATTAATATCACTTTTTTTTAAGTTCGTATTTGTCTGCGATCTATTGCGAGTTCTTCCCATTGAGCAATATCTAATAGATTTTTTTTGTAAAACAAATTAACACAAAAATCAGATAAGAAAAGAGCATATTCCTTTTTAAAATACCAGCAGCACACTTGCAATATCTTTGGTGTTGTGGGTGATAATGGACGACGGTAGTCACTTACTATAAGATGAGCCGTATGCTCGTTTGCCACTTTGTGTTGTATAAAAAAAGGCCTCCATCATTACCTATATCTATAATTTCATCCATTATAACAACTCGTATTATGCATACATACCAATTCTGGAAGTTTTTGACATTTTTATATAGGTTAAACTTTTATTTTGTATTCATTCACTAGCAACTTGGTCTATCTGTTGAACAGGTAAGTAGATAAAATATCATGTTATTAACCCACGTCGCTGATATACATTATCAGTGAATAACATGACCTCTCTACAGGTAAGAGAATTTTTAAAATCTGTTAAGTATTTTTTTGAGCTTATCCATTAAGAACAAAAAAAATATTTTCTTTATATAAATTTCGATTAACTATAACAACTCACTCTTCTCTTCTCGACATCTTCCTTGACTCTGCCCTCGACTGGCAGTACTTCTAGCTCTGCCTTCGTCAGCACAGACCTGATATGCACGATCTCCTCCAATGTAAGGGACAGCCGGTCGTCAGACATTATGGCATCCTGCCATTGTTTCTGAAATATAAAATGTAGATAAGAAATATACAGGTTATTTTTTTTTTTTTAGTTTTATAGAGCAAAACTGAATAGACTAATAATAGAAAAATACATGAAATAAATTTTACGGCAATAAAGACTATTTCTACTTGAACTAACCATACATATGTGGCAAACGAATGTATGGATAGATACGTTTTTGCTAGCGTACACTTGATGAGAACGAGACATCAAATAATTTTATTCCATTCCATTACATGCACGTGATAGCTATGACATATCTACCGATAGATTCGTTTGTCTCTTAACAAGACAACATCAGTAAATAGATACCTACTAATAGACACTACAACACTATTTAAAAACTATATAGGGAAGCAAAATTTAGTCTTTAAATGAAACAAAACTACAATTAAGAACCTACCATTTACATAAAGATAAAATCCAAAATTTACTCAGTTTATTTTTAAAGACATAAAATAATAAAACAATCTAAATGAATAAAATACACATCTAGATTTTTTGTCAAATTTTAACTCACACAGGCGATAATCTGTAACTACATTCAGTCTTATTGGATTAACTGAACTAAAACACAGGCTACATAATCCAAGCATGATGAAGCAAAAGTAAAGCTAAATTATTTTTTTCAAAACTTAATCGTACCTATTGCAGATAGGATCCACCGCATAAACGCTTAAAGTAGCAATTTTAATCTACTTACATGCGGAGCGTGGTTAAGGCTGCCACTAACCGACTTGATGAGTTCGTCCTGTAGTGAGCTGCGCGACCATGATAGCTCGCCGAGCTGTGCGTCCGCGTCGCTGCTCGCCAACGACGCTGCGCCGGCGCACGACGCGCGAGACCCAGGCCTGTGTAATAATTGCTGGTTTAATTACCGTTGTATTAAGAGATTATATTATTATGCCATTATATCAATAAGCCTGATTATGCGAACACATCAGACAATATAGCGCTATATATAGTGGCAGAATAATAATATGGTCATAGCAATCTAAGAGGAAGCAGTTTTCGGTTTATATTTAATTATTTTTTAATTGTAATTTTAAATATTAATCACGGTTCATATTTTTATATACAATATTCATGCAAATGGAATATGTAGGTACATCGTTATGAAGATAATTTACATTTTTAAGTAAATTTAATGTACATTTTTTCCATTATCCAATAATTGCAACAATTTCTTAACTAAATGCAATAAAAGTTAGCTAATTTTTCGACTCAGCTTAATACAATTCCTTAATATGCTTAACACCGTTTGACATTGTATAGATCAACTGAGGTACGAATTGTAATTAATTTAATAATTTCGTTAAGTTTAACAAAACAATTTACTAACCTTATAATAACAATAAGTACTATATTATTATAGGTACTAGTATTAAAATTTAGGTACCTGGAATGTGGCAAAGAATGCGCGCCATCGGTGGGTGGGCATGTTGGGTGCGCGACCGTGTGCCGCCGCATTGAAGCTCTCCGGGATGGGCACTGCGTCGCCAGGTCGTATGCTGAAATGTTATAAAAAAAAATGTAATTTTTAAACATGTCATATAATTATTTTTTTTTTGAGGCTAATAATCGATATACTCGATACCTATACTCTTCAGAAACAGTCATGTGCACCTATAACATACAAATTCGATACATAAGAGAGTACAGTAGGCAGTTTTTCAATGAATAGATTATGGGCTCCATATATAATCAAGCGGCTTGAATTAAGCACGTATGTATTGTCGCTTATAAAAGAAAGTATATAGAGCTGCTCCATCTCTTTCTAAGTGCAATAGTATTATAACAAAATAAAAAATCATTGCATTTAATTAGCAAGATACACATGGTTGACATCAATCCGTCAGACCGTTTATGGACTCCTCTATATCCATAAAAGATTAAATTGTAAGAAAAGGAAAAAATATATATATAACTAGACACATCATTATGTTAGGTCAAACGTGGAAAAAATATGTGGAAAATTTGCTACCTAAATGTGTTTTTGAAAGTGTTTTAGAATTAAGTTAGTAATAATAAAGTGAATATTCTAATACTAACACATGTAACTGACAAATATGATTAAACTAATATGACAGAAAATACAAGCCAATTAAAATAACAAAATTCATAATTTTATGTTAATAAACGGAATAATAATGATTTTGATCCATTATATCAAAAGACAGTAAAATTAATGAATATTATTATGATCACTATTAAAAAAATTCATAAATTCATGGCTTAAATTTAACGTATCAGTAGATAGATTTATTTTATTATAATCTACGATAGGTAAAAAGAAAAAATATGAGCGTATGCTCATCCACAATAATTTATACTCAAGTAGGCACAATAAGAATAATTGCATCCTTTTACCTTAGTATTCTATCAATATAATTGAGCCGTTTTCTAAAATAAAATGAGCCAAATATTACAAACTAAATATATAAATACAAGTAAAGACGAGGGGACTGTTTTAGTCTTACATTTTTTGGAAAAATATTCAATATGCGGGAACACTCTCATAAAATGAATAATTATAACTTCATTCCTGTACAATGAACTGAAAGCATGACACGATTATAACTATTAAAAGTCATGTAAAATATATAATTTAAGTATTCTATATTATTCAAGTATCGGCTCACAATGATAGAAGCTCAGAATGGTCAAATAAAAATATTGCAATAAAAAAAAAGCGTGACATGACACCATGCTATTTCACACATGCTATCGTACATTCGAGGGTCTCGTCGCAGAACTGGTGGTACTCGTCGTGAGAGATTCGGGTCCGGGGTGGCGCCCGCGGTGGTTCCTCTGTCATCAATATTTACTTATCAACATCGTATTGCCAATTTTGAAGTGCGCATGGATAAAAGGATAGCGTGTAATAATAAAATTTTGTATAATTAATTTCTGTCTTCAGACTGTCAGAGGCAACTAAGAGAAGAGAGCGTTTTGCATCAGTAAAGGAGAATGAAAACTCGAAATAATACCCTAAACCAAGCCAGATGGCCAGGATACTATGCATTAGTATACTATATTTTCATTTAATGCCCCGACAACAATTGGATATTAATTGGTTATTAAGGAAAATAGACATACATGAATAACTCTTTTGTACTTTTATTCCATAGGGGTCTCGGTCAATAACTGGTATGAATTACAATAGTAATTTATTATAACTAAAACTCAGATAAACATTCTTCGTCATATCACGAATTATTTTTAAACGTTGCTACACTTAGCTATGTAGGTAGTGTACTGTAATTAACTGTGCTCTTCGGTGTATGTGAATGGGGCTTTATTCCCCCTAACGGGGCTTAAGTAGTGGGGGATATTCTAAAAAAGTTGTTACAGTATTTTAACTTACCGGTCCTTTTCCATGGTTTAGGGGTTGTCTGTTGTGGTGCCGTGTGCCTTGGAAAAGGTTGAGGCGCGCATACTTCTGGACTAGTGCAGGTCTCCGTGTCGTCCTCATCTTCGTCATCCTGAAATAGATATAAATAGGTAATTTATAATAACATCTGTTACAATACAAATCCCAGTACGTATTTTAAAAGAGAAAGAGAGAAAAATAATGTTCTTTAATTGGATTCAAGAAGTTTGGAGAGAAGTTGGATGGCTACTCTAAACAATTAGTTAAAGAGTACTTAGGATCATGATGACGAATTTGGATAGTATAATAAATACGTTTATCTAACTAAAGAATAAAATTTAATACGTCCTTCCGAACAGATGCATGCATTGTTTAGTTTTATTAAAATAATCAATGCTATTATATCCCAAACCGCACTTATAACTTTCTATATTAAGTACTTATAATATATTATGATTGATCAGTTTCTTTTCAATTGGTACATGATGATTGAAGTCCCATCATCCTATTTATTAATATAATAAATATGAAAGTTTGTAAAGATGGATGGATGTTTGTAACCCTTTCACGCAAAAACTACTAAACGGACTTGAATAAAATTTGGTAGACGTATAGGTTAGATTCTAATTTAGGATGTACGATACTTTATATACTAATTCACGCGGGAGAAGCTGCGAGATAAAGCTAGTAATTCACACTTCATTTCAATCATTCCATCATATCTAAGTCATCCTCAGATTGCCATTAAAAAATATATACATTGATGGAACTATATATGAAACACTCAATGGAATTGCTACAAATTGGCACCTTTAATTCCGTTTTTCGAATTCGGAAATTCTTGAGTAATGGCCTCATTATAGTTTGCCACCCTTCTTTTATCACTAACGTGCGCTACAAGGACAAATATATTTACAATCTACATATATAGAAAATAGGTACAGGAGGTATAGAAGGCGACAAGTAGGTAATTCATCTGTATTAATTTTATTGGGAAAAGTTTACTGTTATAAAATTCGAGCCTGTTTGATTACACTCACATCGAATGCAATGACATGGTTTAAGTAGTATTGCCGTGTGCACTCGGCATAGAATGGGCCATCCCTTCCTTTCCTGTGGGTGTCGTAAGAGGCGACTAAGAGAACTTAATGGTCGACGGATGGGCAGCAGCGTCCCTTTTAAAACATCACCAAAAATCTAACTACGGTTTCTAACCTGCCTGCCAAGCGTGCGCAACAACTGGCAAATCCCCCCAATTGTAAACTATCATACGGAACGGCCCCGACCCTTGTGACAGTCTATGGGAAAAGCCTATGTTTTGTAGTGAACAAATAATGGCTGATATGACGATGACGATGAAGTAATAAGTTTTTTAATTGATTAAGTACATGAAGTTGACGTGAAATCAGTTGTCAATCATGACGGAATTATAACCAGAAATGAATTACTATAGTTTTCAAAAGTGTTAGACCCGTGTGAAAAGTGTTCACCAGAGGGAGACTTTGTACAAAAGTCGATTGCTTGGGTACCTCTGTCCCATTCGTGTTTTAACCGTGAAGCAGTTGTGTTTGCATGGCTGTGTTTCAGTTTGAAGGGTGGGATATGGCGTGAATTTACTGGATACAGAGGAATAACACCTGAGTCCTCAGGAATGGTAACGTATGGGGAGTATCATGGGCGAAACAGTATACTCTGTTATGTCCATGGTACTGCTCATGTCTATAGGTGACGGATACCACTTTCCATCAGGTGGGCCGTCAGCTTGTTTGCCATTCTAAGTTGTATAAAAAAAAAAACCTTTGATGTGAAACTTGTCCAAGGACACAAATAATAGGTACCTTTATAGGTTTTTAAATTCTACTCCCTTGCTATTCGAATAAGAAACAAAACGATATATTTTTTGTGCCCAATCTTGTATAATACGTTCGTAATTATGACATTATAATGCAAAACCAGAGTCAACGACCTCTATTAATAGGCACGCGAACATGAGTCAAACGATTCGGAATTTGATGCAATTCTCACAATAATGTTTGAGAAACTTTGAGAAACTTTGTTCAATAAAAAAAAATCGCGTTCCACACGCGATTTCTGCTTTGGTATTCATCATTATTTCGCTAAACGTCGAGTTTGCTGAAAAGTGAAGTCTCTTTTAAACCATTTCTTAACATAAAAGTAACGAGTTAATCATTAAGTAATCATGAATACAACCAAACATTTTACGTTACGTTGTAGTAAGCGTATTAATTTTAATTATTATATTGTAAGACATTTGACGTGTGGTCCCGGTATAGAATGGACCATTCCTTCCTTCCTTGTGGGTGTCGTAAGAAGCGACTAGGGGAATTTAATGGTCGAGGGATGGGCAGCAGCTCTTAAAACATCACCAAAACCAAACTGCGGTTGCCAACCCGCCTACCAAGCATGGCAACTACTAACAAATCCCTCCAAGGTGGGCCTATGTTCAACAGTGCACAATTAACGACTGATATGATAATTATTGTAAGTTATTTACTGCTTTATTTAAAGTAAATTAATTAAAATAATGGCCATGGCATTTTAAAATTTAATTACATGTACTATTAGAAGTAATTTATATTTTATATCACTTATTATGTAGCTCTTATATTGCCGAATCTATCAACAACTGGTTTTAAAATTATAACTTGCAACGGAAATCCTTTTCCACAATACTAGAACTCGTTTTATCTATAATCTATAAGTATATATAAATGTATGTATATATAGAAAAAAAGAGCTGACAAACTGAAAAACTTAAAGCCGATACTGCTGAATTTAGAAACGTGATATTTTGTTTAAGAATACCTTATAGAATTCAATAAAGCATTAAAAAGAATTTTCCCGAAATTGGCACAAGAACTGGAAATAGGTTTGCGTGGGTGAATCTGTAGAAAGCTATAACCTTACTAATATTACAAACAAACAAATTCGCTTTCGAATTTGTTTATTTGTTATCTCTTGGTGTCTGAAGGGCTCGAACAATTTTTATGAAATTTGGTAATCTTACAAAACACGTAGTATTTGAAATAGAAATCTACCAAAGAACATAGGCTACTCTTCATTCCAGTTAGCATAATAATAAAAATTTTAATCATAAAAATGTTTTAATGAAAAATGTATCAAGGTACCGCAACTTCACCTATATATATCACGGTATCAAAACTAGTTTTTTTTTACAACACAGGGGGCAACCCCTCTGTCGTAAAAAAACTGGGCATGCGGCTCATCTGATAGTAAGTGACTACCGCCGCCCATAATCACCCACAACACCAACGGCATTGCAGGTGTGCTGCCGGCCTTTTAAAAAGGAATATGCTCTTTTCTTGAAGGTTATGATGTCGTATCGGTTCCGATATAATTTAGTACTTTATATTAATTGAGTACCTGCTATATATAATAAAAATGTTTAAATAAAGAACACTTCTGTTTACACATTAAGAAAATAAATATTTATCTAAATGTGTATGACCAACGTAACCTTTACTTAAAGAATCTTAAGCATCGTACCACATACAAGTATTACCTTGGTGAAAGTGACTGGAATATGAGGTTATAGGTAATCCCAACGCGTATCATTATAAAGCAATACAAGCTGTACTGTTGCACAAGTGATTACACAAATTCTGTTGATTATATGGTCCCTACAAATGTACTCGAAAATATAAGGTACATTCAACCGTTTTAACAGTGGCAACGTATTAGTTATACCTGAATAAACAAACAATAGTGCATTACAAAAAAATTCAAATACATTGTTAAATATATGTATGAATATATAGACCAATATACAATTCGATCAAAGGTGAACTGAAAATTCGAAAAAGTTTTCATTGCATTTTATTGCCAAGTCTGTTTTCACTCGTATTGATTTCGGATTTAACAAAGTTACGAAATCTTGATCTTTAATAACAGACACATCATCATCATCAACTTCCAGTCCTTATCCTAATATGGTTTTATTATATTCCACAAGGTTTTGATAATATTTGGTTTATACAGTATGATCAGTAATATACTTATTTCTTAAAACTGATGTTAGTATTTATTAATAAGGTTTCAAACACATTTTTTTACTAGAAAAATGTTTATAGTACCAATAAAATATCTATCTATATTAATTTCGATCAGGTTCTTCATTTCTATTTATAATATATATTTTTGATAACCAATATGTGATATTCAACGTCATCATCTTTCTACCCTTATTCTATTTACTATTTGGAGTCAGCGTATTATGTTTTTCTCTTTAACTCCTCTTCTACTTCTATATTTAATGCCATTGGGCCAATATACAGATATCATAACTGTAATATAGAGATATTGCTTTGTATTACCCATCCCTAATTTTCGCATACCTTTTAAATAATTTACTAGGACTACATTCGAATTTATTTAAAGAACACTTGTAGTGTTGGGGGAAAGGGATTGTTAGTAATGGAGACTGAGAATCCCATTGCTAGCAATATACCCAACCAGGTCGACCTCCTCGCGGTTCTCTCTGGAAACTATCATGGTTAATTCCTGATGAATTCATCATGATGGGCTAACTGGCCTGTTTTCATTCTCATCTGTCACCCTTCACTGGTGCTCTGCCAGCGTATCCCGTTAGCGCAGGCGGGGTCACCATACCATTTTTACCCATAAAAAAAAACACTTGTAATGTTACAATGGAAAGAATTCCCTGCTTCCTGGAACGAAAATGACATTTATGAAATATCTTATCTCTCCAACCACATTGGCATCTGAATTATCACCCATTTTATTGCTGAATAGACGTTCTCTATCGCATTTATTTATAGTCGATATTTCGATAAACGGCATGCCTGACTCAGTTTAATAATTGTGACGTGACCCAAGTGATTGATATATTTTCACACGTACTACGACCGCCTTATACATGTAGTGCAAAATAGCTCCACTACAATAATCTTGTTTGTTGTAAATGGCTATCTAGGTACCTACTAACTGGTTAATGAGTTGGAGTGAAGCCAAACAAATAAAATATAGAATAATATAGGGAAGAATAGAATCTAAGCGTCTTTATTTATTTACTGAGTCCATAAATTGTATTTTTATCAATTTATTCTTGTG